ACGCATCAATCCATACATGAAATAAAAGCTGATGGAAGGAAATTCATCCCCTTCGGAAGATTATTTCGCATTCGTAAGGACATAATGACATAAGTAGACACCACATTCATCGAGTATAGGCACGCAACGAACGCTATTGATAAGACAATAAAGCACACAAACACTAAACTATACGAATAATCGATTCGACCAACGAATATGTATGTTCTTGCAGCATTTATAAAAGTTTTATTAACAAACTCAGCGCTGCAGAACCTTGCATCTCATATTTCTCATTACATTCTATCCACTGTCTCAACCATTACGATTTGTCTGTATGTGTGCTCATTAAACGAACGTCAACTGCTCGTCAAAACTGAACTTCAACAATACATTAATCAAAACTTCGATTCAATATTTTATCACTATTTCATCATTTTCTTTCCTCCTATCATCATTCTTTTTTTCATTTAGGAATGGAATGAATATCGCCATCAGAATATTTTCATTTTTCATTAAACGTACACAAAATCGAATGAATGTTGCGACTTATTTTTTTCTGCGAAGTTTACGCAAAAATTTGCAAAATAATGATAGCCTTTATAAAAAAAAATCGATTGGGCCAGAACACTAAAACGCCTTCATGAGACATCCTTGAACTTTCCAAGAAGTTTATCGATTCAGGACGTGTTTCTCAATTTGAAGAAAACAAAAAAGAAGAATGAAACAGATGAACGGCAATCGCACGAAATGCTAGGCTAACAAATGTGCTGTGCTGGGATGTGTTGAGAAACGTTCATGAATTTTTAAATTTTTCAAACTATCAATTCAGTGTCATGCAATCGTCATTCACGATACTGGTTTATTGCTGCTCATTCTCTTCAACTCAATTCTCACAAAAAATCACTCTCAACAAATATACAAACAAATCAAATTTGTTTATTTCGAAACGCATTAAGCGTTGAGAGCATTTTACAACGAAAGTGCAGTGCGAATTCAATATACTCATCCTATGGTATAAACATTAATGAATCCCCTTCCATTGCTTTAATCCGCTAACATATTCACTTTCTCTGCTTTACAACATCCGTTTCTTTAAGTGAATCATAACTCTATCGTATCTTGCTAAACAACTCGAAATAAGTGATACAAGCTTCGATGGGATTTTACGTCAAATATCATTAATAAAGTTATATGAAGCGCGTTAACTATGNTAACTATGCAAAAATTTTTCGTTTTCTTCAACAAATCAAATGAATATCTTTAATTATTTAGTTAACACTCTGGAGTAAAGCCTGAATGAGTCATAGGTTGAGAAATGAAATATATACAATGCAGTGGGCATATTCAACGAGGAATAGCTACTGTAGAGAACAGATGTTTTTAGCACGGCTTTTTACGGCTACTAACGAAAACGTTTAGCAAATCAACTAGGAAATCTTGACTTCGCATATTAGTATTTCAGGATTCTTATGAGTTTGGTAATCATCTGATAAATATTAGATCTATTTCATATTTCTGAGCCAGTCATTTGATTCACTATAAAATATGCATGCGTATGACTCGTAAATTATTAGAATGAGCACTTTCCTCGAATGGAATTAATCATACCAAATTCATAAATGGAAATTACATTATGA